ATATATATTAATAAAATTATAAAATAATACATCAATATTAATATTGATATTAATATTGTTAACAAAAATGAGCAAAATTATTAATAAATCATCAAATTTTATTATATATTCTTTTAGGAATAAAAATTTTATTTTCATTTTGTTTGTTAATGAATGTATTTCGGAGTTAGCACCGTATTAAGAAAAACGCTTAATTATAACAATCAACTTTTAGCCTTGTTAATTGTTCCCCGAAACGGCGTGCACATGATCGATAACTCACCCGTTTTAACTCCAGCAATAAAGGCCTCGATGGTTCCACTTTGTTCCTAGGTATTAATTTTATGGCAACCTTTGAGTTCTGCAATGAATTTCAAAATACTCCTCTTTTGATCTTCTTTTATAAATTGATGATGAGAGAAAAGAAAAGAAAGATATGACTTTTTACATAGTAATTTTTATTATACCGACGTTTCATAACTAGATATAACAAATTTTATCGTCTTCATCTTTTTCGTCATATTATTATGTAAATATATTATTTTATCTTTCTTTTTACATTTATCATTTTTTTCTTCTAATAAGCCAAAGTAAAGAAATGAGGGTTGGGAAATAAATATTGCTAGAATAAAAAAAACAAATTCAAGGTGATAGGATTTAAGGGAAATGAAAGAAGAACATTAAGATTAAAGTAAAGGAACGGAAAACTAAATATTCCCATCAGAGATGTTCTATGAATACTTTGATCTCTAGAAAAGACATCTTTAAAGGAAACTGAAAAACTTACTTTATAAAATCCTGTCTGAATATAAACGTGTTTGTCCACACCCTCTGGTAGACTAACATTATCGTCCGAGTATACAGTCTGAAAAAAAAGAAAATAAAAGAAGAAGAAAGAATAAAAAGAAATAAAATAACCGGAAAAGATTAAACATTCAAATCCATCTTCCATTATCTTAGATGACAAATTTCGAGAAGTCTCGAGATTTGATTAGAAAAGTAAAACGATTTAAGTCAACAAGAAGAAGAATTTAAAAGATGTACATTAACGATGACATTCTACGTAAACTTAGAGCTTTTCTGATAAAAAAAATAATAGAAATACAAGACTTGATATTAATAAGAATTACAAAAAAATTGTAAAATGATACTTACCAGTTGACTACTGCGAAATTTGTTTGCAACTAAGGAGTACATAGATCCTCTAGTTTTCGCATGATGTACCCAAATGATGTCATCCCAATGTACCTTCCACGTCATGGAAGCGATTTCTGCTTCTAGTTTGAAGTGCCTAAAAAGTGGGAAAGGAAAAGAAAAAAAAGAAAAAGAAAAGAAAAAGAAAAAGAAACATTATCCGAAATTGCGGATGTTAAACATTTTGACTTGTAGTGTGTTGAGTAAAAACACTTCTAACGAGGGAGGGACCAGTCTAATGTAAATTCAATAAAATAGAAAACATAATGCAAGTACTGTACGTATTCGAGAAGAAAAACCCTTAGAAAAAAGGGGATCTAATTGGTTGGAACGAATTGCTTCTAACCTTACCCTTTTTCTAACGTAACTCTATACTGCACGTATTTTCTTTATTGGCAAAAAAGATCTCATCTGCTAATCCGACGCGTAACAAAAAACGAAAGAGAATAGAACACGTCGAAAAGAAATAGGGTAGAATGAAAAGCATTGGCGTAAACCAACCATACTCAACCTGGAACCTGCTATTTGACCAATTCGGGACCCATTGGGATTATAAATATAATCAAAGATCACATTAATGTTTGAATGCATCTGGTGATATTTTTTTTTTTAAATATGTGGTCAAATATGTGATCCGTTAAATATAGAAAACAAAATTATACGAATCACAAGAAAAAAAAATGAGAACCTCTTACATAGACAATCAAAAATTATTTTATCTACGATTGTAACTTTGAAATATATGGTATTACATATTTCAAATACTAAAATTAAATAACTAAATAAATGCATTACTAAGGATTAGAAAAATAATATAAAATAAATAATTAAATAATTTAATACCGAATTTCTAGCCATAATTAAGTTAGCAAAGAATATCCTTCAACAGAAACCAGTTATACAAAAATGTATATAAATAAAAAGCTTACTTTAAAACAATTTAAATTAAAATAAAATAGTTAAAGACGAGTGGGATGTTATTAACTAATTCGAATAAAATAATTACACGATATTGAATCAAGTGTAAGAATTATACCTGGAAATATTGGAGAACATTTTATCTAAAAATGGAATGCAATTTTAAAAAGATATATCCCGGGTTTAAAACATTATTACACAAATTGGTTAAATTTGTTATAATTATAATATGAGATTGTTGAGAAGTCAATGCAAATTTAAAACTGTTTTTGAATTAAATACAAATACGTTTCAATCGGTTCGTGAGATGTCGAGCAATCTTTTTCAGAATTTAAATTCATTGTATTTAATAAACTTTATCAATTATTTTACAATTAATAAAAAAAAATCTTTCTAGTTTGATTGTATAATAGTTAGAATTACAATCATATTTAATAATAAATAAATTTGCTATTGTTATTAAATTTTTTGCGAAATAAAAATAAAATACCATCAGTAAAAAATTAAATCTTAAAACTATCAAAGATTTATCAATTCAAGATAAATAAAAACATTAACTCCCTCGCAAAAACTGTTATTCAAATCTACCAATAAAAACTAAAAATAAAACATAAATAAAACATCCCATTGATCTTCCCAGAATAAATACCTAAGATTACACATTTACAAATTTAAGTTCCAACACTACTACACTTTACTCAGTGATTATCAATAAATGTATCGAAAAGTACACGATCTTATATTAACCATTACCAAAGGTGTAAATAATTGTATTATAGCAATTAAAAACAAAAGTAACAAAAATTACCCAAAAAAAAAAAAGAATAAAAATAAAAATCTATTAATTATTTACATTATATTTGAAGAGCATAAATATTCGTAATACGGTATTATAAATTTTGAAGTAAATACGACTATGTTAACAAAAATTCTACTTTGATAAGTTGAAAAGTATCAAAAGTGAGAACATCCTTAAAGTTTTCTTCTCTACAACGTACAGTACATAAGTGATAACTTCTTGGTCGATAAGCTTTAGGAAGGAAAAGAACGATAAGTTTTGTAACAAGATTTGAAAGTTGGTTTTGGGTTAGTCGAATAAGTCGAATGATTTAAAGACGCGTGGGAATCACCAATGTCCAGACTTTCCATTTCCTTAAACTTTACGTGTACTTTCTAACTTTAGGATTATTACTATTTTCTAATTTTCTTTTATGACAATTATTTGTTAAGCCATTTACTAGAGCAAACTTATTATACGATTCGAAGTAAGTTGATCTCTTGAGTAAAAACAGGCTAAGGACATCTCGTTTGGACTCATGAACCTTCCTAAGCACAAGGGAGTACATTCCCTGTTCTTGGTATTTCAGTGCGAGAGAACTTATGGATGGAGAGCTCGCGTAACTGCAAACTAGCTACATAATTACGTTCCAGTGTTCCTCATAAGCACATACCTGGAAACTCTGAATTCTGGACTGAGCTAGAGAAGGAAAGTAGTGTCATGATATCTATAGACAATATTACTATCAATTGTGTTTTCTATATTTATATTTTTTTAAGTAATTATTCACTACGGGAAATTTTTTTCACATTTTTTTTATGGTTTTCTTAGTCCAAATTTTTCTAGTAATTCGAACAGTAATAATCAATAGACGTAACTTGAGAATATTTAGTTTCAACACTTTTTTCTATTTATTAAACAAATTTTTAAAAATTATTCATCAGTTTTTTAAATAAATAATTATTTATTACACACACACGCATACACTAACTAACTATACTTATAAAAAATATTTTTAAGAAATTATTTACTCAAAGGAACCGTGCACAGACTTATTGGCACATCTAATATTTAAATAATTATTCAAAATCAGACCTTTTTTGAAATTTTGTAATTTTTTACGGTTCTATTAGTACAAACTCTTTTTGATTTGATAGTTTTATTCTTAAATAAGATAATTAATATTTATAATTAAATATTCAATTGTGCAATCCTGACTCAATCCTATCTCAATTATAAAAACTGAAATAATATTATTAAATTATTATTTATACAAACTAAAATATACATACAATTACATTGGCAATATATCTGGTAAAATACTGATCGAATAAATAGCAGGAATCGTCCGACATCAGAAATATATACAATAATTACCCTTAAAAGAGTTCATTACAACAAAGGAAAAAGCCAGTAATAATTTATCAATCGTACCCATTTCATTTTATCATTTCAATTCAATTTAAACACGAGAGTTTCAAAAACCTTATAAAACCACTGAATATGATTTTCATAAAACATATTCCCTTACAATAAAATTACTACTCGTTTATATGATACCTAGAGCTTTGATAACTAGGAATGTTCCTATCTAGAATTCTCATCAAGTTATTGTGGTTGATCTAGTAGGATTTGTACTATTTGTTTTCATATATAGATACAATTCTGACATTATTATTGGATCTCAGTGGTTGTTCCAAGTCAACACTGCATACAAATGAGCTTTCCTTTAGATAATATCTACTAATAACTTTCATCTGCTTTATTTACCAACTTCTATTGTTCGCACTGTATAACATACATATTTGTTAAACTTTACCGATTACTTATTACAAAATTGTGGATTCGTATGCAATGTGTATATGTATTGTACATAGAGTATACCAAACTTATGAGGTAAAGTTAGAAGATTGTAATCTACAACTAAATAGAAAATAAAACTTATACAAGATTGATGAGGAAATTTGTTTCAGAAATACCAATAGAAGAACAAATAATAATAATTACATAAAATGATTCCTTTGACTTTGATGATCTGCACAGACAACTTATAAAATTATTTACTTTGAAATTTCTGGTTAAAGCTGATAATAGTTAGCAAAAATATTTGAGGTTAATAAAGAGATAAGAGTAACAAGAAGTATACACCATTTTGTAGAAAAACATTAAATTATGTAATAAAATATTTAAATATAAATATTTGAGATATGAAATACGAGATATTGTAATTTATGTGGACTCATAGAAAGTTAATAATAGACTTGCAATTTGGTAGTTTAAGTTTAGAACATCCTGTATTTCAGCATCATATATTAAATTTGGTTAATATCTATTTCACCAATTATAGACTATAATATGTTACTGATTGAAATAAATATATTAAATCAAGATAAATATATCAATTAAGTAGTATTATCTTGATATTATTCATTAATATAAGTTATTATTATAATATAACTACCACTAATTAAAATTTCTTAATACGCTTGAATAATTATTGATATTATGCTATAAGATGATTAGTTTCATTATAACGTGTGATCAGTGGAATATTATATTTAATTCTTGAACTATATCAAAATAATCACAATAACTAATTTTGAAAATAACATTTAAAAATGACATAAAATTATTAGGTCGAGTCATAAATAACTTCCATTTTTTATGAGACAAAGAATGGTGTTTCTGCCACTGATAAGTGCACGACACTTTTCATGGTGTTTTTTTTTTGCACTCTTTGTATTTGCTGGACGTATCTATTGAATTTTGCTCCAATATTACCTTTAAAAGGTCCGTCAAAGTTGGAAAGACGTCCTGCACTCGGTTCGTCTTTTAAAGTCGTATCTCCAGAACGGAATTTTACAAACCAATTTCTGACTGCCCTATCAGTTATCAATCCTGCATCGTTTACGCTGCATATTTTTTCAGCTGCCACTTTAGGGCTATTGCCTTGTTTAAATTCCTAAAGCATTACATGTCAAATATGCACTTTTTACTATCCACTTCAGAGGTTAAGAAAAACTGTTAAATGTAACATTGACTGCATAAAAAAGTTAACAGAAGACTAACTGAATCATCATCTATATAGTGATATCGAAAATCCGTTTGTTTCGGTGACTTATAGTAGGTAAATACGAAAAATAGATTCTACATGGACGCATCGGAAGTTACTTATGACTCGACCTAATATAATCTTAAATTAAAGAAACTTCTTATCATTTTTATTGCAATGTCTTAAAAATGAAATTTATCAATTTACTGTAAACTTTTGTACAACGCGAATTTTTATAAATATTTTGCAACAATACTTTTATACAGGATGATAAAGAAATGAAGTTCGATATTTGAAGTGTTTATAATAATTGACATGATTTTATTATGGGGACATTATATGGACCGTTTATTTTGAAAATGGTGTAAGTACATTTAAAAAAAAAAATGATAAAATATCACGTAATTTATATTTAATTTAGAGTGTAAGCTTTTTATTTATAACTTGTTAGTATTTTCTTAAAAAATGCCAATACTAATTGAAAACTGAACGGTAAAAGAAATTGCGTAACCATTGATTATGTAATTGGTGTAAATCCAATTTCTACAGAAAAAAAAAAGAAAAAATACTTTCCTGTATACACCACAGGATTATTATGATATTCATTTTACATGAAATAAAAAAAAAAACAGATAACAAGAAACATTAATAAAGAAAAGATATATTTGTTACAAATATGTTGAATGAGATTTTACAAAAGTGCACCATATACTATTTTAATTGAAATTTCTGCAGTTTTTCTTTTTATAGATCGAAAGTAAAAAATTATATTTAAAACAGAAATGAACACAACAAAAATAAATTTAAGATGTATATGAACTCAGGTTTCATTAAACAACGAAAACTAGACAACATTTTTACATACATGCGCATGTACAAACACATATTTGTATAATATCGTATGCATGTATAAACATATATTTTTGTATGCATAGTTGCACATTTTACGAAAAATAATTCTAAATAATTTTTGTATATTTTAAATAAATAAAAATTGAAAGTCAAATTATCACTGTTAAAAATTACAATGAAAAATTTGTACCAAGAAAACCGCAGTTTAATTTGTTTAAAAATAATATCAACATTTGATCAAAATCTTATCTTATTCTAAACTATAATCTTTATTCCAATCGAAAATATATTTACGCAAGGATTAACTTACCGATAAATAAAAACCGAAGCCACAACGAGAACCACTACGATCGAACTGAGAACCATCGAGAGAATTGCGTATCCTGGTAGAGCTACGAAAGAAACCAACAAAATGCCAAACAAATGTAACGTCGTTCATTTTACGCGACATTAGTTAATATATATGTCCTAGATAACCTGTTTCTTCTTATAGCATGTAATATATTCAAGTTTGCAAAACTTTGGTTAAATAGCGTCATAAAGTAACAAATGGGTGAAATAGCATTAGGAATAAAGTAACAAGTGGGTTACACAATGCTATAGTGTAATAAACGTCTTTACAAAGATAAAACAAAATATTTTGTTTGTAAAACTAAAAATTTACAAGGGTTAATAATAAATAATCTTATTAAAGCAATTAACAAATTATTTTTAACTACATTCATAACTACGAAGTTCGTTACAATGCACAGAGTCTTTTTTTCTTAATACGATATGTCTAATTTTTAGATTATTTTTGTCATTGTATAAAATATGGATTACCAAAATGTTGTTTACATATAAATGAAAATAATGTTAGGATATAAAATGTCATTGTATCAAATGGAGTAAGTTCATAAATTTTGTTATTCGTGTTTAACATTTAAATTGCTTACACATTGAGTAAATCTACTATCATCAATAGTTTGTGGTATATTGAATTATGCAACTCATATTTTAAAGGTGTTCGTTGTTACCCATACAACATTACGACTATTAGTATTTTACCGTTTGTGGTCAAATCACAAGGTTCAGCATAACTGATCAAATAGGACTTCCTTTCCGATATTCATTTATTTTGATGACACTGAAATGGGTATGGAATACCATCGTATAAAATCAATAGTAGCAAGCATAAATCTTAATACTTCAATACCTTCCAAATCATTAATAACAAATTTTATTGCGACATAAGTGTAATGCATATTTCATACAATAATAAAAATAATTCAAAAGAATATTCAATTAAAAACAATAACTTTATATTTCAATACCATCTTTTAGAACAATAACTTCTCAGTTATTATAGGTTATGAAAAATGTATTATCCATTTCTGTACAGAAATTTAGTTTTCTTCAACTTATTTGCATCCTAGTTTGAAATATTTTACTAAAATTATAAATGTGAGACATTTAATTAACGATCGATGCCTGATTTTATTAGTTTAGTAGAAAAGTAATTACATTTTTTTTAAACTTTAAAAACATGCATGTGATTTAAATGTCAACAAATTGTTGAATGATTAACATTAAGCTATTTTATAATCCTTTGATTGATTTTATAATAGTTTGTTTTAATAAAAGCTATTAAATCGTTATTGTCAATAGATGTTCAACCCAACCCTTCAAAACAAACCTTTTTATTCTGAAGGTTTTGGTTTTCATCAGGAAATTTGTAGAAGTAATACTAAAATGAACATTCGCTAATTGCCTTTTGACCAAAAACGTGATTTTGATTTTATACAGTTTTTACTGTTTAAAATCATACATTAAAATTATGCGAATTGATTTTTTTCTACGATAATTTTGATGACTTAAATTAATATAAATAATGTATACATTTGTTCAATACAAAATACAATAATATCTATTATTTATTAATTAATATTTTCAATTATAAAATATTTATTTGAATGTCAGATACTTAAATATACGAGATAGAAATTAATAGCATCATTTTCATCTGATAATATTATATAATCATAACAAAGATAAGATTTAATCATACAAATCTGCGTTTAATTAAAAATAATAAAAATTATAATTATTTTTGCATTAATCTAATTATAAAATTCCTTTAAAAATTTTAATTTTAACTAAAAATACGAACAACCCATGACAAGAAACGTACGAAGAACAATTATAAAAAGTGGAATTTATTGTTAATTGCTATATGTTTTTTTTACGTACCTCCTAAAAACGCATGCAAAATTATTTCAAGCTTGATGATAAGTTACAGTTATCGTTGCAAATAATTACACTGAATGCAATTGGAGTGGCTGAAGTTTGGACAATATTTTATGTGTCGCGAAAAGAAACAGATTATCTGGAATACCCTCCTCCTCCCCCCTCCCCCCACATATGTGCCATTGTTCTTTTTAAAGTGATATAAATTTTGAAAACAAAACTGAATAAAAACTAATTTCAGTTAGACGTGATGTTATGTGAACTTATTTTTAATAAAAAAGTAAATGCATACACACACACAATAAAATATTATTCTGAATTCGTCAGATAACGTTTTATTATTAAATGTTAATGTATAAATGTATTTTTTAGGAATATGATATAAGTTCATTTAAAAAAAAAAAAAAATAGTGTTGCTACAAAAATTGCTATCATTTTGTTCTTAAAATAAAACAATTTTAATTTTTATACATTATTGTAATTTATTTCTAATGAACCGTATACTCTAAACTCGTAATATTTTGATATTATTCATACCACATATAAAATTTTAAATACTGTCATACATAAAAAAAATTAAAGTTAGCATACCTGGACTATCTTTCTACTGAGAAGTGTATTTATATTCGTTAAACCTTCCTACTTTAATTATATCCTTTTTTATATACATTCTCATGTTCATTTTTTATTACTCTGCCTGTTCTTATATCTTTGTTATTCGGAGATTAGTCTAATTCTCAAACCATGTCATAGTAAAACTTTGTTTTAGAATTCAGTATTGTACAAGGATTTTCCCCAATTCTCGAATCGTGTTAGAACTTAACCGTGTTACAGAAATGTCATTTTATACAAGAGTTACCTGAATTATTTTTTTGTTAGATGAAAAACTTATTCCATAACAAAAAGATTGCTATTATGGATATTATTTTAATTCATTAACATTCAGAACAAATTTTGAAATCAATACGAACGTAAACTTGACGAAAATGAACTTATACCAATTTAAAAGAAAATAAAATAGCGTACGTATTTAACAAATAAGTTAAGAAATAAAATTGATTAAAAAACTTACAATTGTCTGGACAGAGTGATCCATCAAATCCACAAGTTGGTGTATCCGGGGGTGGTTCTGGTCTTCCACCGGACCAATGAATCCGTTTTCCTGTTATATACTCCAATGTTTTGTTCGCACCGTAGTAATTTGCAACGATCTATAATGAACGTTACGACAAAAAAAAATAATTCAAGTGAGACAAAGATAGAAATGAAAGAAAAATCTTTTTTGCTCGGTTTTAATGATTTTTACATTTATAAAATATTCTTCGAAAGAATTCGTTCGTTAAATCTAATTAAAATATATGAAAATTCTTCTATTTATTTCAGTCACGTTGAACAAATTAAATCTCATATAAACGCTTGAGCTCTCGTATAAACTTGTAAGCAAGAAAATTTTCAATCGATGTTAGCGTCCAATTGTATGAAATTTATTTCAATTTTAAATAAAAATGTATTAACGACGATAAAAAAAATTGTTCAATAAATGATTAAAAAGTATTAAGAAGAATTTTAGTGAATAATGGTTTTTTTTATTTAAATACAAAAATCATTGATTTTATTTATCGTTCTATCATAGAAATTTGATCATTATGATGAATTAATTTGTTCTTCATTATGTTAGTAAGATAATAATGTATATATGTTACCTCGAATTTTGACGTTTCCGGATTCATATCTAAAAGAGAATAATCCGCAATTCTATCGCCGTTATCATCGATATTCACATCTCCGGTAATTCCTAAAATAATTATTTAAATAAAATAATAATTATCAAATTTGAAATATATTTGTTTGATAAGTAATGTCAGATTATTTACACTTTTAAATATTATAACAATTTTTAATAAAAAAAAATACTTTATAATGTAATTTATTTCGATATGAAATACTAAAAGCTTTAAATAAAAATGTGCTTTGTGATTTTATTCTTTTATATATAAAATGATAAACATATCTTTAGTAATTGGTTAATTGTTATGAAATTTATTTAAATATAAAATATTATACATTGTTAATTTTTATTTTCAGTTGTATGTAAAATATCAAATATTTAAAAATAATGCTCTGTAGTATTATTTATTTAAAAAATATAATAAATTCTATTATTCATTTTGATGTATTGTAAAATACCAAACATCTTTAATTAAAAAATGCTAATATTATTTATTATATGTAGATGTAAAAAAATACTTCATTATTTTTTTAGTAATATTTAAACAAAAAATGTCAAATATTTATTCCATATAAATTATAATAATATCTGTTAATTTACTTAAACATAAAATACTAAATATTTTCAAGTATAATAAAATGCAAAATATTCAAAATTAACATTAACTAACATTACTTATTAAGTATAACTCAATAAAATCTTCTAAAATATTTCTCTTGAAATATCTTATCTCAAGATGATTTATAAAGTTTTGATTTAAAAAAAAACCCTAACTTCAGCCCTCTTTTTTCCCCTATCTCACAAGTATATTGACTCACCTTTAAAACTTTTTCCCCACATTCTTCTTGTTAAATTACCACCATCAAGATCAACCTCACCCGGCTTTTCCGGTAGACTTTCTTTAAGTGCAAGAGCGTAAAGAAGAACAGCATCGTAAAATGCTGTGACAAACGTGGAAACAGAACTATTACCAAATGTAAAGTTGTATTTGCTTTGTGCCAAGGATTTAACTTCTCGCGAGAAATTTAAATATTCTAGATTATCGGGAGTACGTGCTGTTACTGTCAAGAGTGCTTGATATGCTTTCCTGGCTTTTTCATTCCTCTCATCCGTGTCACCTTCCAATCTCCATGGTTCTATTGAATTGTTGTCGCTGTAAATATCAAAATATAAAATTACTATCAGATAATGTAACACAATAGAAGTGAAACCAATTTTTTTAGTTATTTCCTTGTGTGATTATTTTATCAACGAAATTTTCAAATTATAAAAAGATACGAAGATACGTTTCAAATATGCAATAATAATATAAATATAATATTAAATATATTAATAATATAAAAATCAAATTATTTATATGATATTCTATTTTTATTGTATCATTTTTATAATTAAACTTAAATTTAACAGATACTTGATTATGTATAGGACTAACTAGTAATGAACTACCTTATGTTTTTAAATATGCTGTATTGAGATAAAATGAGTCTACGATTCGTAATATGTAGACGCACACAACCACATATGTATGTGTACAACGCTTATAGTTAGTAGTCAAGAAATGGGGAAGCTACGAAACATCGTATGATATCGGCGTGACAGTCAAAGGATTAATACACTTTACTTATATTACAGCAATATTTTGTTTTCAGAGTCATCACTGAACAAGAACCATAAAATAATTACATTAGAATAAAAAAATAGACAAAATCAGAACGTTATAATCTTAAATTCTCTTTATTAAGAATATTATTACCGTTGTATACATGCGAAATGTTCGGAAAGTCATATAAACAACTTTCTATATATGAATTTTGATAGAGGACAACGTGCCAGTCTGAAGGTGAATTTCGAAGAGGACGGTACTTCGATCATATATTCCGAGTTTTTAGGTAACAATAGACACTTGCATTGATTAATTAACAATTATTTGAATATTTTAACACTTTGACTGCCATGTTGATCATATATGACCGGCCACGGTTTCTCCTGAGACGCCATGTTGGTCATTGGTGACCGAAGCAATTGTAAATTACATGTATTAATGTACAATTGTAAAAAAACTAATTAATTAATGTACAATTTTATGATATAATATAATAAATTAATGTACAATTAATATACAATTAATGTACAATTTACATATAATGTAATTAATTATTAATGTACAATTGTAAAAAACTAAATGAAAATTGAAAGTTAATGTATTTGAATATGACCGATATATAGAATATACTTTGAAATAAAAAATGCCCTATTGAACAATTACAATTTTTTATCAACATTAATTTATTATTATTTTTCCATTATATTCTTTGAGTAATAAAAATAATGTCGTAGCATCCTAGACAAGATATGATTTCGGCGTGCAAGTCAAAGGGTTAATAAGCACTATTATGTACAATTGCTGAGAAAACTAAAGAAATATTATTCGTCATCTTCATCTTTTTCTTCCTACTTCTATATGCTTTCCATCTCATGTTTTATCCCTCTCTCTGGGTTTCACTTTTTTCTCTTATTATTTCTCTTTTTTTCGATTCCACTTCGTATCTTTCATTTTGTCTCCTTTCTTTCTCTTGTTCTCTCTCTCCCTCTTTCTCAATCCATTCTTTTTTCTCTCTTCTTCTAACCAACACTTTTCTATTTTTCTTCTCTCTCTCTCTCATACCAAAAATTCTCTCTTTTTCTTTCTTTCTATTTTTATACAAAACTCAAGTCAAAGAGAAAACAAAAACTTTATAAGTTATTCATGGTCTCACTCTTTTTTTCTATCATTATGTATCTCTCTCTTCTTATGCTTTATCTTACTCACACTCTCACTTTTATACTCTGTCTCTCTTTCTCTTTTTATCTCTAGTTTACGTACCAGAAAACTGAAAAGAAAAGAAAAACAGCAGTTTATGCTCTATTTCACTTTCTCCTTTTCTCTCTCTCTCTCTCTCTCTCTCTTTCTTTCTTTCTTTTTCTCTTACGCAAAAGGAAAACATACACGGAAGGTTCATTCTCTATCTCTCTATTGATTTCTCTCTTTCTTTCTCTCTCTCTCTCTCTCATTCTCTTATTTTTTCTCTTACGCATAAGGAAGAAGCAAACACAATTGCTTATGTTCCTTCTTTTACTCTTTCTTCTTCATCCTGTTTTTTTAAAGCTTCTTTTTTTTGTTCTCCATCTTATCTCTTTCTATCTTTTTTTCTTTCTCTCTTTTTACGCATAAAGAAAATGAAAGGAAAAAAGAAAAAATGTCAAACTTATTCTCAATCTTACTTTTTTTCTTCTATCTTTTATATACCTCACCCCTTTTTTTTAGCATCAAACTTGTATCATATTTCCGTTTCATTTGTCACGTGTTTACTTGTTGAGAAAAAGTTTTACTTCAAAAATAAAAATATAAAATACTAATAATAATAATAATAATAAGTGATTTTTTTTATCATATATACAAAATCGAAGAATAATCGATGTTGTTTCTTCAACTTTGTATTGAGAATGAAATTGTTCGCATAGCCAAAACGTAGAACATTACTGTTTGCATTTTTTTGGAAACAAACATTTAATTTTTATTAAGTAATGAGTTCTTAAGAAAAATATTGTATTTTTTGTAAAATAAAATAAAACACTCTATTTTTAAGAAATAGATCATTTGAATAAAGTAGCGAGCACTTACGTATTAACGCCACAGCAGCAAAAATTCCGCTAATGCGCCAATAAAGAGCAATCTTGTTATTCGCACACAACAACCTGTTGTTTGCACACAACAACCGTCAGGGTTGCGTCGGGGTTACATCAGGGTTATGGCGACAGCATCAGGTGAAAGAAAATAGAGACTGTTTTGAATCTATGTTAAATTCTATATCGGCCCATTTTCGGCCCCAAATAAAATGTTTTGGATTTTGAAAGTATATTGATTTTAAATAAAGTTTTTTATTCTATGATTTGTCGCAACAATTTAAGGTGTAGATTGGCGCATTAGCGGAATTTTGCTGCGGTGGCGTTAATACGTAAGTACCAAGTAGCGTTGGATTGCAAAGCAGAAGGAATATTATATCAAAGAAATTAAGTGATAATAAACGTAATTGTTTATTATAGAAGTTATTACAACTGAAGAAAAGCCAAAAGTTGAAACAAAGTACTGTTAAATAGGGTTTCAATTATTTTGAAGTAAATCGTTTGACTCTGGTTAGAATTTACTACGCAAATTACTATCATGAATTATAATAAATAGGAAAATTTGAAACATTTAAATTTTGATAATAGCTGAATTAAAACAAAGACTCGAAAATAATATGCAAATATAAAAACTTAATCAAATATAAAAACATTTTTAAAAAATTATAAATAATAATTCGAACAAATTACACGTTCTGAAATAAATGATTTTATAACGAAATATTAAAATTATTTTATAAATATTAAATTATATGTAAAAAGTAATATATAAACATAACCTTAATATTTTTATGAACCGAAAATAGATCATTATTTCGTCCAAATAATTTTTATTATATAATACATATATATTTATGAAATAATTATTAGAATTATAAAGATCAATAAATGTTAAAAACAATAACTAATTTTAAGATGATAGTTTTATAAACAAAAAACGGAAATATGAAGTTATAAAGCTGTTTATAGAGTAGAATCCAAATATTTTTGGAAGTCATTATACATTTTTCTTTTCTCGATAAGAAAAATATCATATATTATGGGAATTAACAGAACGTTCTAACTAATACTAACAGACAACTTCGATAAGAAAACTCTATGAAGTATCGAGAATCGATCGTAAAATGACACAGGATAGCAAAGGATCATATAATAACAAGCTTGTATGATTCGAAACGGCCATTATCATCCAACGTTCTGAATCTTTAACCTTTTTTCTTTTTTTAAAAGCTCGTAAAATGACAAATATGCCAAGAGTTATAAAATACCACGTAATATACTGGGCTGAAAATGAAAAAGCATGGAAAATAGCTTGTTCACGTTATTACTTTGTCCTCGTTGAAAAGAAGTAAAATGCACAAAACAATTTAATAACTAAGAGATCTTATAAATTCATTTATATTGAATACCATAAAGAAGAACAAAAAAAAATATTACTTTTCATTATTATCTTGGACAAAGTTTACATCAACTTACCTAGATGAAAGTTCTATAGAGAAAAATACGTATTCTCCTGAATCAACCATTCCTAGTTCCTCGGCAGCTAGTAGGATTTCTCGGATGGTGGTTGAGTTTGCGCACATGACTACAACTGAAACAAAAGTTGGGTTAACGAGCGATTAGCATCATTAGAATTTATTGATAAATTTTATATCAACGAGAGAAATTTTTTAATTTTTTTTTTTTTTTAATGTTTTTCTTGATCGATTTTCGAAAGAAACAAAAAACAATTTAAAAGTATAATGAAATAAGAAAAATCGATATCTCGCTATCATATATCATACATCAAGATGAATTCTGACGTAATAGTTAGACAAGTCACCGTACGTTTTATAAACATTTACTCGTACGTAAATCGTAAAGGCATTTTATGATTGTTGATGTCATATCGGTCCCGATCAGAAACCAACTTTTCAAAACGATGCAGAGTGTTTCGTTTCATCGATGAAAATTTATAATTTCAAGTTTTTAATAGACCAAATTTAGATTGTGAAATATTAGTAACTAAATATATAGCATAATTCTTAATATTATATAGAATTTTGAAAAAATATATCATCCATCTAATAATAAAATTGAAAAAAGTAAAGTTTATAATGAAAATCAATGTAGTATTCCATATCAGTTTATAACTTTTAATGAATATGTCCATTTATTGATAAAATTGAAGGGTAAAAGTTTAATAGAAAAATCAACGGATTATTTCATATTCACCTTTAACCTTTCATGAACATTAATTGGTAAAATTGGATCATGAAATTTAACACTAAATTTCATATTAGTATTTATTTTATTTAAAATGCGTACAATAAAAAAGAAAATATTTGTCTTTTTTTAATTTCATAATTGTAAGTTTAGTTTAACTCATTAACCCATAAAAAAATGTTTAAAATGTTATATACCCTTAAAGAGTCACGTATTCTATACTAGTATATCTATATTTACTTTAAAGAACTTATTTTACTTTCTCAGGAAAAAAATATTACAATTAGGTTATATCTCAAAAGTTAGTTTATCAACTATAAGTAATACTCCGTGTAATATAATTATGTTAATATAAATTGCATTATAAATTTTACATTAGGTAAATGTTTTCCTAGATACTAATAAAAAGTTAACACTGTATCAACTTTAAAATTTATGAATTATTTTAATAAAATAAAAAATAAACTTCATAAATATCTTTATCATTTTTATGCACTACTTCTAGACATATTAAACCTACATTCGAAATAAATTAATTTTCTTAAATTTTCTTCAAAATAAACATAAAATAATGGAAATTGTTATTCATTAGAAACGTTTATTAACTTCAATTGAATTAAAGATTTTTATATAATTCTAAAAAATATAAAACTTTGTCATATTGATAGCTAAAAATTTGATATTGTTTTTAACATGTTCAGAGACTTCATAAAATTGAAAGTAAAATGTAATAAAATTAAATACAAATTATAGTTGAGGAAAGTATTTTAGATTAAACCTTTTTACAAATTGCATTAGTTAATTTTAATTGCAAATACTTGATCAAAACATTGTGCGATGTTGGTACTAAAGATAAAGTAAGAAAACAAACAAATTTTATGTGGATAGAAAAAAAAACTAAAAAAATCTAAAAAGGAAAAGTTTCATCCCTGTGATTCAATAGAAAATTGAGAAAACCCTAAGATCCCTCTCTCATGTTTTGAAACTACACAGATGGCTTAAATTCTAGCTTCCCTTTGTGGTAGAGATACCGTTCCCATCGAAAGTAACTCACAAGGTAAAGCGAGTTAGCTGTTTAATAATAAAGAAACGTGCATAAAGAACACCTTACGCTAGCATAAACTGCATTCATTTTACGAAAGCTTCGGGAAAATAAATATATCCCGTGGTGAGTAAACCAAGGCGAAATGTAAGTAAAATAATGTTGAAGTGAAGGAAAACCGCAAGAAAGGGAAAAAAGCAAAGCTGAGTATGTGAATAAAGAAGAAATGAAAAGAAATGAAAAGGAACGGTACGAGGAACACTTACTCCTGGCAGATTTGGACACGAAAAGAAGAAGATTCCTGTAGTCCTCAGCATTAGTTTTTTCCTGATTGAAACTTCTGTGAGCTGGTGTTTGATTTAAAGCAGTAAAGACAGCACCCAATGTGAAATGGCACTCGGAGTTACCACGACTGCTTGCCATTGCATGATTATGATATAACAATCCAGCAATTTTCCAACCAAATCGTTGAAGAATGTGTCTTAGTGCTTCACCGACCAAACGATGGCTGCCCATCATTCTGGTCAAGGTCGGATAATGTTCGTCCTTGTGACGAAAGGCCTCGGCCTGAGCACCTGCCGTTAGCACGGGAATCCCCCATACGCCAGCGTATCTTGCAACCGGTGCGATTACATAATCGCAAACAGGACCCAAAAAGGCATCTGTTTTTGTTAAAAACTAACTCATCAAGAATTCGAGAATGACTAGATTATAGTTCGTGCCTGTTTGCTTTAAAGAATGCTTTCTCTCTCTCTTTCTTTTGAAAAATTAAAACAAACATTCGAATCATTTTTGGATTCGAAATTGAAAATAGGATAGAAGTGAATGATACGATAAACAAAAAAAGGTCATTAATTTAGGGTAATAAAAAATTATGTAGCAATTTTCGATTATTGTACATAAGATAAAAAGAAATTCTAAAGTAATATTTAATAATACGAGTATAGAATAGTTTTTCTTGGTATACACAAGTACTAGTGCAGTTTTAACTCAGTTGTAGTAATCCGCATATACTGAGCTCATAATTTCGCTAGATTATTATTTACACACACGAAATTGTAAACCCGTCAATAAGAAATGAGAGATTTGGGATATGATTTCTAAAGTCATATTGAATAAAATTGTATCACATAATTAATACTTGTTTTATACAAGACCTAGTATTATTTTGATCCTATTACGGTGATCCATATATTCTGAGTCTACTATTTTATTAATTACAGACAGAAATTGTTTATTCTTTAATTATAAATTAAAGAGTACATTTTGGAGTATGGCTTCTGAAATAGGTTTGATGATTCTGGCTTCATATTTACTCACACTTTTATTACGTACGAGAACAAACACTAAAAGCTATCACACGCAGCCCTATTTACTATTTCACTTTATTCTAAGCTTTATTTATTACGACTAAATCCACAAATCTAATCCTTCGAAATTATTGTCTATAGTATTTAATGAAGAATCCGGTTTACAAAAGAAAAATTGAAACGAGAGAGGCATTAATCAAACGTATTTTGGACACCGGACACTGTATATGGAATGATCATAATGAACTCTTGAACTTTTGAACTATATACGCACAATTCATACATTAGTGCAATAATCCCTTGAAGTAAAAAGTAATACCAACTATCATTCACTTCGATATCAAGAACACTAGAGTGTTGAAATGTAAAAACGTGAATTGGATTTTAGAGGTTTTCTTGTCTTAGAATGTAAGTTCTGGTGGTGGAATCTTACACATTATCTATTTTCTTCTAACTCCAACAGCTATTATACTGTAATTATTCAGAACTAGACCCTTATTTCTATGAACCTATTAATTATTTTAAAACATGAATTATAGTAATGAAACCTTACATTACATATTTTAAGTGAACCCCAACAACTATTATACTACAACCGTTCAAAAAAGAAACTTATTTATATTAATATAAATATTGTGATTCAAAATGGTTTAATAAATCACATTTGAAAGTACACCCAGTATAATATTCAGGTAGATAAAAGCAATATGCAGAAAGTCTTCCAAAGATAAGGAAATCATATAATAAATTGTAAAAGAAAGTTAAGCACGCCAACGTTAAGGAAAACTTCTTAATTAAGTATCTTCGTATTTCTTTTCTTATTATTTTTTTCTTCCTAATTAAAATCAAGGTCTTTGTATCGCGTTTCGCTACCAACGTTGAAAATATTATGTAGACGGTTTATAAAATTTTATATAAGGTGTGGAAACAGTGCAATAAGGTCTTTGAAATGTATCCAATTAAGCTCGTTTCTATCTTCATCGATCGTTCTATGTGATCCACAACGAAGCTCGTATTGGCTTCAGTGACATCATTGCGGCTAGGTATTTCGGCACAAAGTGGTTTATGCTCGATTAATGTACGTCAAGCTATTTGGCCCCGGTGATACAAGAACAAATAGGTATAACTCAACAACCCCTCTTATAACCAATCCCATTTTGTCCAGATAGAACGACCCTACTTGTTAACTCTTCTTACCTATCTTTCATTACATGTAATCAAGATTTATAAACTAGCTTTATCAAGAAAACTTTCCTCTCTTTCTCTGTAAATTATTTTTATTTCTAACCAACCTCCTTAAAACTAAATGTATTATATTATGACTGGTCAAATAATTGATTTTAGATCTTACATTAAAATTCTGTATTCAGTATTATTGCATTGTTTCATTTAACAATTAAACATTATATTACAATATATATATATATATATATATATATATATATATATATAAATTTTTAGGTTTAAGATAAACATAATATCTTCCATTAACATAACCGACCATATTTATTCTATTATTTGCAGGAGACCTCATCATTTTACATTTACTTTGGAATCTATGATACTTTTATCTTTTTACCTCCTTCTCACCTGTTCTTTCCTTTTTATTTTGTGCTCTCTGTCTGGTTTTTTTTCGGGGAAAGAACAATAAACTATCGCACAATGTCGTAGAGGGAACATATACCATGAAATATTGCATGTCTAAAGCTTCTCATACGTGTATAGCATGTAACCTACACTAACCAACCCTTCTTTACGAAAAACAACCTTTTGGTTGGGATAAGGATAATACATTTTTCTCACGTATACCTTCTTCCAGCACAATCTCATTATAGCTTGTTTCAAGCTCATATCATCTTTCTTCGTTCAAAAATTACATGTGTTGTTTAAAACAATATGAGATATCAAACAAACGAATCTTTTATTTTTGACCAGTTTTATTGAATGCAAATACATTGCATTTCAAATAACTCGTAAAAATATAGTAGCACTGTGTTATGGTTTCATAACTCAATTGTTTATTCAGTAATTATTTGATTGATCAATAAGACAAAACTTTGTTAAGGGTCATATAGCATGTTCTGAATAATCCCTAAGAAAAATCAGGTTTCCTTCCGATTAAAATTACTTTGTATTTAAAATTAAACTTCTGTTTACTTAACTGAAGCTACAATTGTAATAATAAATCTATGTTAGAAATTTGAAAAAAAATAATTTTTAAATGTATATGATCTATTGCTAAAAACAATAACCAGAGTGTTCATTTTATAAACAACCCTAATATGAAGTCAAAAAGTTAGTCCATTGTGTTATAATATTTTCTTGAGTTACTGTACATACTGTCGATGAATTTTCTGTCTCTATCAATTCTGACAAAACAAAAAATGCATGTACATATACATACACAAAAAACATATTATTCTATGAATACGATATTGACTGTCAGATAGTTTGAAAAATTTCCTTTTTTTGTGGTTTCTTTTTTTTGTTTTATTTTCCGAAAAAATCGGGACATCATACATTTTAATTTTGTAATCTCGATTCATCAATATGCCCACGCAGATTAGTCAGTTCGTTTGCAGTTTGCTACTTTCCATTCTCTCTTTTTCTTTAGATACCGTACCGTCAATTTATACCAGCAAATCGAACAAAATCGTTATTCAATCCGTGCACCCTTCGAACTATATCTACAAATTCGATTCTATATATATATATATAGTGTACCCTATATATATGTAGTATATCCTATATATATATGAGGTATATCAAAAATCATAGATCAACCTGAAAGAGGTGATAAAGAAGATTATTTCTAACAATAGAAATCCTTAATTAAAATTAATTGATTCATCATCTTTTCATATTTCCATACAATGACTATCACATTGAAAGCACATGGACTCCTTTTATAAAATTATTTTAATACTAGACTTAAAGTCCTTTTAGATGTATTTATATCGTAGCCGTAAAAATGGCAGATCTTTATTAAAATTTGAATTTTTTATAATTGAATACAAATATTAATTAATTTTAGTATTGGATTAAATAATAAGTAGAACAATTAGTAAATAATAAGATATTAATTGTGGATTTCTTATTATAGGATTAATTTAATACTAAATCTATCAAAAGCTTATTTCAACCAACGTCAAATGATCGACTTTTAATAAAAGTTATTTAATAATTCAATAATTTGCTACTAGCTAAAATAATAAATAAGATAATCTTTATAACCATAATTATTGCAAAGTAAAATGAAGAAAAACCAAAATAGAGTTTTCATTTGAAAATTTCAAGAAGAAATTTAAAAACAATTTTTAGAAAGAAAGACCAATATTATATTGTAAATAAATTAAATTATCTTATCGTTAACAAAATTATTATTAACTTGTATAGAATCCTTAGAAATTGTGTAATAATATAAATAGTTTAATTTATTAGAATGAACTTTTCTTAAATCAAAGATTTTTGTGACACCATATATTATATATTTTCATATATACACTTAAACTGCAGGTTATTCTCTATACATATTTTTCATCAGTATTTCCCAAGTGAGAAAATATGAAATTTTTTTTTGTTGATAAAAAAATCACTATAGTTGAGAAAAATCGTTAAGTAAATCGAAGAACGGAGAGAATTTTTCGTTAAAGTTTGAAGACAACGAGGAGAGATAAACGAGAAGGCACCCTCGAACTAGAAGACGAATGTAAAAGGGTGAGAGTTCAATTGACTCCGGTAGGGATGTGAGGAGGAACAGAGGGGAAAGCGAAACAGAAAAAGGATGAGAAGGAGAAAAGAAGAAAAGAGGGAAGGAGAAGAAGAAGAAGAAGTACTGAGACCTTTACTTCATCGCATATACCAAAGGGGGCATTTCAAGGGATCGAAATAATTAAGCGTAATTAAGAGAAGGAATTTGAGTGCCGATAATAAGAAAGAAAATGGTAGTCGTCGTCGCGAATTAGATAACCAAGCAAATATATACTGAATAGCCAAGCGCAACTGGTCAACCGAAGTTATCCAGACTCTCTCATGTCAGAGTAAACTCGGCTTTGGTTGATTGACCGGACAACCATCTTGTAGAGTTACGTACTCTTTGACCGATTCCTCTTCTTTCTCATTGTTGCTTACGAATTTACTTACACTCGAAAGAGACAGTCTGCAGCTGCGAACCCACCGATGAAATGGACTTATAATGACGTCAGTTCTTTATAAAAATAGGGCCGGAGTTTGCTACGCGTGGCACGGCTTTAAAACGCGGAACGAGGAGCAATTAAAACGCAACGGACTCATCTTCGTCTGCCTTTGGATCATCATATTCTTCATCTTTTTCTTGATTTTTTCTTTTACATTTATTTTCTCTCTCTCTCTCTCTCTCTCTCTTCATTTTTTTTTTGTTAACCTTCCTCTTTCCCTGTTCCCCTTTATTTATTTTTCTTTATCTTTCTCCACCTAATTGCACTTCTTAGGAAGAAATAAAGTAAAAAGGCAGACAATGCACATCAGTCGGCACGAATTAATTGACATCGGGGTCCGAAAGCACGGTATATTCTCCCTGCCACCCCCCTCCTCAACTCTTTTACTGCAACACGATCAGCTCGGTAGTATATCTAACGATCTCTCTTGGGGTTACTGCACCGAATCATCGGGCAAACGAGATCGCCGACAATAAACGTTATTTTCATCGCGATATACACCCGGTTAAAACGAGTCAACCTATGAATGTATCATATAGATATACCTATATTAAATATACATACATACATGCACAGATACATATGTAATACATACACGGAATCCTATATATATATATATACACCTCAACTACCTACGCGTTCGTCCTGATAACCACGTGAAATTGCACTACTTTCAAAGGGAAATGTAGAGGATACCCCAAGTACCACAGTTTTTTTTCATTAAACTTCTTTTCCATACGTGTCCGTCCAAAACACTCTAACATTTTTTATACGCTATGTTACGAATGATATTATACCGTAAGGATTACCTACATATCTACTTATGTAAATACGAAAAAAGAATTTCTACGAAATTATTCCATGCATTTCTTGTTGATATATCTATGTTGAAGAAACTTATAGTGACGGGTGACAAGCATCCAATGAACATAGTCAATGATTACAGGAAAACTCTGGGAAGAAAATAAGATTAGAATAATGAGAGAGAAAGAGAGAGAGAGAGTGAGAGAGAGAGAGAGTGACTTTTACGCTACGAAAGCAACTTCTTTACAGTTTGATGATAATTTACTAAAACGAGTTACGCCTTGATAAGATCAAGACGCGATAAAGACGAAAAAAAAAAGAAATAGAAAATAAAATGACGAAAGGACGAAGATAAAGGATAAGAAGAAAGTGGACGATCTGAACGAGACCTGCTGTCTGATTGATGTAAAACTCGAAGGCAGCCAATGGTCCGTAAGTGCTGGAACAACGCGAATCTCGATGATCGACCTTTATGTTCCATCCTGGTAGGGGCCCTTTTGCCGAGCTAACAGCTTTCACAGCCAAAAGTACAGCGGGTAATACCCGAGGCAAACTTTGTTCGTGATGCGGATCACCAGGAGCTATCACGGCGAGTTTCACTTCACCCTTCGATTGTTTTCGAACACCAAAACACTCCTTCGAGTTTTGTATTATTGTTCTTTCATTTACAGCAACAGTAGTAGAAGAAGAAGCATCACCAAACGTGTCAAGGGCAGTTAAAATCAATGTTGTGTAAAGTATTATAAAAAGAAAAGAATCAAGACTGCCAATGAATTTTCGTGTAAACGAATTCACTGCCATATCTGCTGTATCAACAAAGATTTCTCTCTTTGATTGATCGATTTATTTTCTTTTTTCTTGTAGATATATTTATCTTATTTTCTTACAATAACCCCACCGAGTTTGATCGAGCGATCGCGTGTATTCTACTCCCGTCGAACAATCCCACTTTCTTCTTTTTCCCTTCTCCCCTTTATCGTAACCGAATATTCGTGGCATCATTCACAAATAGAGAACGATTTAAACAGTTGTCTAGATGGATCACAGATTTTCTCAATTCTAATCGTTCTCCTTCCTTTTCTCATTAATCCTATATATTCTCGATGCCCACCCACGCTTTATGAGATAGAATTCACTCCTCGTCGTCACGTGCTTCGCAGCTGACGAGGAGGACGCATCTCAACCATAGACATCACAAACACAAGCACAAACATAAGCACAAACACTACCAAGATAATTTTCGATGTATTTATCCCTTATTAACACAAATTTCCAATACTCACAGTTTGTCGTACTCTTCTCATTTCTACTATTTATTTTCATGCGAAAAATAAACTCCAATGCAATTTAACAAACAAAAAACATAGAAATAAAATTAAACGAATAATAATTCAAAGTTTAAATATTATTTTGTTATGTATTTTAATAATGATTACAATGTAAATACATTTTGTATTATGTTTTCATCGTATGATCATTAAATGGGATTGTCAATTTGATTGTTCAAACAAATTTCGTATTAGAATTCTAAGAGAAAATAAAAGGATCTAGTAGTAAGCATCCTAAGATATCGATCAAAATTATTTTAATAATGGATCGAGATGCGCTCGGAACACGCGCGCATTACTAACTGAGAGCTGACGAGGGCGAAAGATACCACGGGGATCTGAATTGCCCCTCGAAGTCGACGAGATCGTTCCACCTCCACCACCACCACTACCACTACCATCGTATATACCTAGAACCATTACCACGACTATCACCAACACCAATATCGAACATCAACATCAACACTAATACCAAATACAAATGCAATCTATAGAAATCACATTTCCTCAGACTGATATTTTAATGCACATGTTTTACATACAAAAATATTTGGATAAAAAAAATATTACGCACACTTATATATATTACAGTTACTCGTATGTAAGGTTGGCGCAATTGTGTACGTAGTTGACGAGTAAAATGGAAGAACGCATGCGTCTGATGTTGTCCACCCTTCCATTGAAAGGTAGGAAACCCCACCGGCTAAATCTCACCGTACTTTCGACGCACCCTTTTTCTATACTTTGTTCAATTCCAACCTGTCAAAGTTCTCACATTTACACTTCAATACCTTACGATCATTCATTTTTTATTTCTCTAGGAAATTTGTCTTTTACAATGTTACTTTATCATATATCTATTTTATGATTAGACTTATACATTTGATATTATTTCAAATAAAATTTATTACAAGTTTATCTAAAACAATTTATATTATTTGAGAAAATAATTGTAAGATTATAAGCTGTGGTTATCTTTATCAATTATTCGAAATAAAATATGAATCATTTTCTGATCAATTTTCTTATGGAATGCATATTTGATAAAATAGACTTTTTACTCCTAAAGTATACTTTTGCAAATAAAATTAATCATTTTACAAGACAAAAACACCTTTCGCTAATTCAATTTATTCTTTTAAAAATTAAAATTTTCTACATAAATATTTTATTTTAAAAATTATCAAATGTTAATTAATTTTTGATAAAATATTTACAATTTTATTACAAAAAGGAGTACCCTTAGTTAAAAGTAATTACCAATTTATTAAAGGTGTAGTACATACATATTAAGTAATTCATAATTACATAATTAGATTTATAGTATGATATATGTATGTATGAAAATTGTATATAAATTTGTAGCTTTTATTGGTGTATATGTATTCATGTTGATTTCAATTTTGTTCTCAATATTCTTTTTCTTTCTATTACCGCTGGCAGTATCTACTGTTATTGAAATATTATTTCGAATACAGAAATGAATTCCAAGAGATAAAGAGTTGTACTTTCGATAGAACAAAAAGTAGATCCAATACGAAGAATAAATTCAACAACCGGCTTCGTAAAATCAGTTGCTGTCGATTAAATTGTAGAAAAATCTACCATAAGAAAATGGGAAAAGCACTTAAGAAAATAAAGAAAATAAGTCATAAGAAAAGTGCTGCGATTTTAAGTCGAATTCTGCAATACCTAGAATAACATAAGGAAATAACAAAAGAAGATTTAGTGGGAATGAAAAAGTTACATAAAAAAACACTTTAAAGTGCAAAATTAATAAAGTAATAAAAATGTATATATATAATATTATAAGAATATATCAATACTATTTTTTAATACAAATCTAATACAATGTATGTATAAGCATGTATATTTATGTAATTTTATTTTGCATAAAACATATACACATTACATTCTTAAATGAACTGTATTAATTCAAACAAAACATATCTTTCACAATTGCATGCAAATTCTAGTGCAATAATTTGATACTATATTAACTAATTATTAAAGTCATTTACATTAATTCATTACTATTAAAATTATTATATAAATAATCTGATAACACTTATTATTGTAGTTACTGTGAAGTTAAATGAAAAAAATAATATTTTATGCAAAAATTTTAATTGAAGAATTCAAAACTGGTAATTTAATTATTCGTGATACTTTTAATATTACAATCTATTATCTTTTATCATTAGTATTATCTGACATATGAACTAGTGTGTATTTTTTTATTCATAACATTTTTTATTTTTTCCTATACCTAAAATATTAATAAATAAATTGAATTTTTTCTCTATCTATTTAATCGTATCTAACCTGTTTGTATTTTCAAACCGAGCGTTTCTTTATGCTATTGCTGTTCCGTACGTGTTATAGAATTCATAACGCAAACGATAGGAAATAAAATGTCTGTTGGGAATAGTAGAAAATTGAATAAAAAATGATAATCGGCAGTGGTAAACTCTTTTATATATATCTGCATTATATATTTACTTATTGTATTTACAATTTGTATTTACAGATTGTCTCTCATCGTAATTGAGTAGTCACAAATTGACAATTATTAATAAATTATAACTTTTATCAATTATTTCCTACATATTTTCAAACAGACTTATCTTAAAATGAAAAATTAAAATAAAAAAATTTTTTTTAAATGTTAAACTTACAAAAATGTAATTTAATTAATTGTAAGTCTCAACGCGTAACATAGGTTATGTTCGCTTTAAAAATTGAAGTAAAAAGAAAATTGTTTGGAATTGTTTTCTTACGTATGAACGTAAAACGAATAATCAAATGGTCGATTCTTAATTTAAAATAAAAAAATTTGCATTGAATTTTCTTATTTTTCTAATGAAATAATAAAAATGATTGTACATATGCAACATCAGCTATGAATATGTACGCAGAAAAATTTCTTAGAATTATTTTCATATATTTTTAAGTAGATATTTTCTCAAGACAAAGAAAACAACATGTAAGGAATTTTCATTAGCGTTTATTCATTGAAATTTGATTCTCTTAGTTTTAAAGCGACATATTTGATATCCGTTAAAGGGATCTGGTGCAAACAAATTTCTCAGAATTGTTTTTCAGATATTTTTTTATAGATTTTTCCTAACATGCAAAAAGTATATAGAAAGAATCCTCTTAAACATATTATATACGCACTCTGAGATTTGATTAAATTAAGTTTCAAAATGACATATATGAGATCGGAACCTATAAACAAAGTTGTTTATGTCTACGTTAAGCTTCGAACGATCCTTGTAAACTTTTGCTTGCTAAATGAGCGTAGTTTAACTATTGATTGGGCAAACGGAAATTAACTTTAAATTCAGAATCAAACTAAATCGATTTTGCAAAACGTTTACAAGTCTTCTAATTTTTATTGTTATTTAAATGTATTCCACTGTAATTTCAACATTCATCGAATTCTAAATGTGCCGATAATTACTGACAATCGTTTTCATAATTTTTAAAGTAGATTAAGTTAAAAAAAATTCAAACAAATCATTTTATAATTTATTTTATAATATGAATAATTTTTATCTAAAATAATTCATAAGATCAATTTTTTAACATTTCGTGATTAACTTCGTTTTCAAGATAAATATCAACAAATGAACAAAAAATATTTATCTCATTTATATAGATAATTTATTGATTAACTGATTTATTAAAAAATTTTTATTTTTAATAATTAATTTATTTTATTAAAAAGTTAATTTATTTAGTAAAAAATTTTCCTCATTTTTTATGTAAACGAAAATATTTACAGTACACTTAAACTTTCTTAAAGGGGCACATTAATTGGGAAGCAATTTTTGTTCAAAATCACTTTCTAGCAAAATTTCAACATATTTTCTTTTTTATTTATATTAAACTTTATTTTATATATTTAAATAATTATACATAACCGATTGTATAAAAAACCGGACATTATTAACGACGTAAAATTACACCGATTAAAATGGGCAGGCCATGTAAAGCGTTTGGAAAAAAAACAAACAGAACATAAAATACAGATCTGTATATCGAACGAAAAAAGGTTACTGGGTAGACCAAGACATAGATAGGAGGACAAGATTAGGAGGGATGTTAAAGAAATAGGGTATGAAGATCACAAATAAAGGGATTGCGTTCAGGAACGAAAACACTGGCAGGATTATTTGCGGCAATGAACTTTCAAGTTCCCTAATTACAATTAATAATATAATATAAATAATTATAGATATAATTGAGACATAATTTATACAATAAAACATCTGACCTATTTTTAATATACCACCATATACAAATTAGAGAAAAAATATTTGTTTGATCAACTAAAAATACAATTAATACGTTTTGGCAGTCGATAAACTTAATCCCAAAATGACCGATCATCTTCTTGGTCAAAAGCACACACATATTATCGACTATTGATAAAAACAATACCTGATCGATAAGATAATAATAATTGTTAAAAGAAAATGTTTCTCTAGAAACATTAAATAAAGTAAGCACGTCAATATAATGATAGTGTACATCATGTTATTCGAGTTCATTAAGGAAACGTTTAAATATAGATTTTTTGACGTATAAAATATGCCGTATCAAGATAGTTGATATCGAAAGGTATCAATAATATAGATGTTCAACCACTACGCGAGATAACGATGTCCGATAAAGTAAACGAAACGATAACACCGACTTATGTTAGTCTGACTGAAATAGAAAATTTGATAAGAGTTTAAACATATTGTTAGTAACCGTTAAATACTTGTGTTATTTTAATCTCTTCTACGTGTTTGCTATAAACCTTTTTGGTAAATCTCTACTCCCATTTAATGACAACTTACCAACTTGGGAATCTCACTTGAGTTGATATAAAAGACGGAAAAAAACAAATGCGCATCATTTCCTATTTGTTTAGATATTACTTTCCCCCTTATCACGTATTACATGAAAAAAAAGGTCCTACTTTTAATCCACTCGAGATGATTAATGTATATTAAGAGAAATCGTACTGTGTCATGAA